ACATTTAACCTTAATAAATATCACAAACATCACAGACATTTTCTTAACTGGAAGAACATGTAAAAGAACAACTCTCAATGTTTTACTTGTTTTAGTTTATATCGGTATTCTAGAAGGCGTAAAATGTGACTAGACGTGGGAGTGAAGCTTCTAGCTTAAGCAAGCCTAGACGAAACTTAGGCATAAAAAAGTATTTCCTTATGTTTAATATTATTTTAATTTTTTAAACATTTTAAAAATTATCTAATAATTAAAATAATACATATCAAACATCTAGAATAATAAAATACTATATTTACTTAATAATTTTTACCATTAGTCAATTATACAATTTTCGAATTTTCAAAATACAAAAATTAAAATAATTTTTATAGTTTCAATTTTCAACTAGACAAGTTATACTTTTTAGATTTATATGACCTTCATACATGCTTTTTCAGTTTGCAACCAAATAACGAGTCTCAAGATCATAATTACATAACGTAGATAGCATCATAGCTTAAATCAAATAAAGTCATTTTTAACTTTTATATAGATGAAATCTTTTAAAAATTTGAAATTAAAGTCAAATGAAAAGTTTTTTAAAAATTAAAAAAAAAAATGAATAAGCTAAAGTTGAATAAAAGACTTTTTAAAACTAATAAAGTGTGCCTAGGGAAGACCAAAGATAGGAAGGAAAAAAATCAACCATTAGGGAAAAAGAAAAAAAAAAAAAAAAAAGGTCTAAACATGATATGAGGCATTTTCCTTGAGTTTCAAGCCTAGGAGCTACTTGACGAGCTTTTTAGATCACTGATTTTTATTTGTTTAATATCACCCGTCGTTTCAATTAAACTCGAACTGAGGTTATTCCTTGGTAACATTTCATTCTCACCTTTTGAGATCTCTTTTACTTGTTCTATTTTAATACCGAACCGAATTTAAACTATTATTAAAGCATGCATGAATGCATAGAATAAACACATACAATACAATGGTAAAAAGCCAGAAACCCCACCGCAACATCAATAATGTAAACAACCATAGAATAATTAACAAATCCAATTCATTTTTGGACGGCTTCGGTTTTTCACAAAAATTGGAACCTTTTAGATCTCATTTTCGTCCGTTCTTTTTGTTGTCGTTCCAATTATTATCTATTTAGATGTACGAATGCTTATATTTAGATCTCATTTTCGTTCGGGTTTTCCAATCCTTGGGTCTCCTTCATTCTCCACCGTTCATCGAACAAATGTATAATCACATCAAAATATAATTAATGTCTAACCAAAAAACCTAATAAGAGAACTTCGGCCCCACAAATATAAAGATAAGTGGGGTTAAATCAATCTCATTTATAGACTTACATTGTACTTAGGGCTGTCAATTGATTGGATTTTAATTCAAATTTGATTCGAATTCGATGAAATTAATGGGAGATGGATTTAGGGTCACAGTCCGATAATTCGATTATGATTTGAATTCGATAATCTGTTAACTAAATGAGTAAATATGGATATAGATCGATCCAATCCGATATATTATAATAATCACTATTAAAAAACATGCCTTTAAGTACGAATTTTTCATTCCTGAAACCTTGATAGCCGTTGCTATTACTCTTTACCAATGTAATATTTGCAACCACAAATCCATTGTTAATTTGAGAGTCGCTAATAGTTACCAACAAATCTTACTGTAGGTAAAAAATAAACATTTTACCAACGAATTTTTTGTTGTTAAGTGTGAATCTTTTACCAACAAAATTTTCATTGGTAAAAATCTTGACCAATACTAACTGACTTTTCGTTGGTAAATGTCTATTATTACAATTGGTAAAAATCAATATTGTAAATAGCCGCATAGGTGTGAGGCATGAAAAAAAAAATTATTTATTTATTTATTATTGTTATTATTATTTATTTTATAATTCTAATTGTTTTAACTTTTAGCCAACCGAATTGAAATGCCAAAATATTGTTTAGCCACGTATTGGACCACAAATTAATATATAGAGGGCAACTCCGAAAACTTTGTTGTGAACTTTCGATGTTGAATAAATGAATTACTTTTACCAATGGATAATCTGTTTCTAATTACCAACGGAATATCCGTAGCGAAAGATCTAAATGTTAAACGATTACATGAGGCACGGAATATCCATTGGTAAAGAGATATCATCGTTACCAATAAAAAATCCGTTACTGATTATCGTAGTTGAAAGTGAATTATTTTTACCAATGGATAACCCGTTTCAAATTACTAACAGATTGCATCCATTAGTAATATTCGGTACGTCACCTACGGATATTTCGTAGGTGAAGGATCCAAATATTAAAAGTTATATGAGACACGGAATATTTATTGGTAAAGAGATATCATCGTTACCAACGAAAAATCCGTTACTGATTATCGTTGTTGAAAGTGAATAACTTTTACAAACGAATAATCTATTTCTAATTAGCAACGGATTGCATCCGTTGGTAATTTTCCGTAGGTGAAAACTATTTTTAATAGTGAATATAATATATTTTATATATTATATCATAATCTAGTAACATAATTTTTTCCATTTTTAAATTTATATTATGCTTTACACATTATTTTCAAATAATAAATAATATTAGATAATAATATAATATTGTTAATTGAAATATTAAAAGAGATTTAATTTTTTATTAATTAAAATAAGATAGAAATAACTATAGTAATTTATTTTATAACATCAAAAACTAATAATTAATATGTCCAAAAATAATTTATATTGTTTAAATTGATATTATTTGTGATTATAATCTTGTTGAAGCTATGATTTTTAATGAAACTAATAAAATAAACTAGTAACACTTAGAATTGACAATTGACTAATATCTCATATTGAAAGATCACTAAAATAGTGGAAGAGGAGTATCCCTTAAAAAATTAGTATCCCACGTTACAAGAGTACTAAAACATTTCAAGAGAAGTCTCCTTTAAAAAGGGACTAAAAGAGCATCATTTAGATAAAAAAAAATTGATTTGGACTTTCTAGTATAATATGTGAACCCATCAAGATAGTTAAAATAATTTTTGGGAAAAAAATCATATTACCCAAAAAAAATGGTGGATTTTTTTTTTTTTCAAATTCGAATCGAATTATCGAATCGGATATCCGATAATATAGCTAATTGAATATGGATTTAACAATCAAATATTTATTGGATTATCGGATCGAATTGGAGATGATATTTTTTTTAACGGATCTGATCGGATTTGGATAGATTCGCTCCACATCCAATCCATTTATAACTCTAGTTGTAATATAGCGTAATGAATAGAAATTTTAATCATATCAGGAATTTTTATCTTTGGTCCCCAACCTCTTATTCTAGTTGTAAAGTTAGTCTCTAAATTTTGGAAAAATGCAAGTTGATCGCTATTTGTCTCTTATAATAGTTAAAGTAGTCTCCAGTTCACGAGATTTTTACTAAATAATCATATAGTTCTAGTGATTCCATCTCTTGCTTTAAGTTGAACAGTAGAGACTAACCTTATAAAGCATCCATTTGATTCTGATTTTTCAAGCAAAAAAAATAATTTTTTGACCGTTACTTAACATAGTCAGTCATTATTTTTGACATCTTCAGATTCTTCACTCACAAGTGGAATCCACTTTTCAAACTAACGGTCAAAAAATTAATTTTCATAACCAACACCAAACAGACCCAAAGTTAATGCATGAAAAGTGCAAAATTGAGATTAGACTTTATTTTTCAAATCCAATTAGCGTTGAAAAATTAGAAGCAAAAGATATTACTATGAAGGTCACATGATGATCTAATAAAAATTTGAATAATTACTTGAGATTGATTGCATAACAGAAGTTGATAAACAATTTGCTTCTTTTCAAACGTCGGACACCAATTTGCTATTTACGAAAAAAGTTGCGGATCAACGGTGCAATCTTTCATTTCTTTCCTTTAATTTCATTTATTCTTGAACTTGTATTAGAGTTTAGGACACCTATTAATTTTATACCCTTGTCGTAATATTAACATAAAAGATATCCTAATACGTCATATGGCGAGATAAAATGTAAATATACTAATCATTAAGAAGAACAATTATTTATCAAAAAGAATATTCATATTTTTTATTTATACAATATAGGAATGGCAAAAGTTTTTGTCTAATCTTGCCCTCCTCGAATGATAAATGGGGTGAGGACGAGAAATTTCGGGAAATTTTCGAACCTAATTTGTATCTTTTTATTTACATCCACTTTTCACATTTTTCAATTTGAATTCTATTTTAAAATTCATGACGAAAATTCAAGATGTTACACAAATGGTAATGGACAATGATTAAAAAGGAAAGGTGTAGTATGAGATAAGAGAATAATATATAAAGTTTTTTCTCTTTTCTTTTATTTTCCAACTTGTTTATTCATTAATTGAAAAAGTAACATATAATTATTTGAGAGATGCTTCAGATCCCAAGTTTAAAACTCGAGATTGGCTCCAAGGCCGAGACGAAATTCATGGGGCCTGCCCCATTCAAAATCAGGGGCTGAGATTTGCCACTGGGATTTAATCTCGGATTCTGCAACTTTATTCTAATTATTTTCAATTATCATAGTCAAATTGACAGAAGGAGCTTATTACTGCAAATTTAGAAGGTTAGAAGCACAAGAGTGTCAAATAATAAAAGTTGGAAATTCATACACTCAAATAGGCACAAATTTGGAAATATTATTACTAATTTCCTTGAAAAAAAAAACACAATATTCTTGATTTTTGTTAGGAGAACGATTGTCTATGCTTAAAAAGTTTACTTATAAGTGAATTGGTAAATTTAAAATTTATATTTTTACCTGTAAAAGTTTTAATTACAAAATAAATTTTATTACTTCAAGAAAAAAAAACGTATATTATTTAAATAAATAAGAGGAAAAAAAAAGTTAGTAAAATTGACCTGGCTTTACTTAAGCTTAATTAAACAAAAAGAAAATGGTAAATAAAGAAATTGAAATTTCTAGAATTTCACAAATTGATGAGTCTCCTCTTTGAAACAGCTGTGTTGTTGACACCTGGTGGACCTCGAAATTTGTCTTTCATCTCTAACCCCCACGAACACTCTTTACCATTTTTTTCAAACTGTGAAAAAGGGTGCACTTTTTGGGTTTACATATAAGAAGAGACATAGGATAGTATCAGGATTGTGTTAAATGAGAGAAACAGAGAGTCTTGGCTTGTGTTTTGAGAATATGTTGATTTTTGGTGGTGGCGCCGGCGGAGGTGGTCGGTGGAGGATTAGTGAATGGAAAGATATACCGGCGGAGTTGTTGTTGAGAATTCTTTCATTGGTGGATGATCGGACGGTGGTTGTGGCTTCTGGGGTCTGTCATGGATGGAGGGATGCCATTTCATGGGGCCTCACCCATATATCCCTTTCTTGGTATATACAGAATATTCTGAGCCCTTTTTATATTTTTTTTATGATATGATTTTTCACACAAATTTTAATGAGGCTTCCCTGTGCCTAAATTAGAGGATCAGAGGATTCTGGGTTTTCTTTATAATTACTGTCATGAGATTTACAAAATTGCTTAAACAGAACCTGCTGATCAAATTTATTTATTTTCTGTTTAAAAGTAATAATTTTCTTTTTTAGAGGCTGTCTGTATGGCATTTTGTTTAAGATTCTTATTATCTTTGCAATCAATATAAAGAGAGATTATACTTTAAGTTGATTTTTATTATACAATCTGATTTATCCATGAAGTTGTTGAGCAGTTTTAATTGTGATCACATAGTGTTAGTGTTATATGGTTGCGAACTACATTAACAGTACATTAAGGCTATGTCTGATGCACCGAGGCCATATAAAGATATTACTAGGAAGACGGAATTACGTTGGATTAAGGTGGATAGTGTTATTTTATTCTACAGACAGTGATTTTGCACTGCCAACCGTAAATATACCGAGGTTGGAGGTGGGTTTAGGCTGGATAAGGAAGATATACTAAATGACATTCTTTTAAGTAAAAAGTTAATAAATACTATCCACATTAATCCACTGTGATACCATCTTTAGTAATCATTATAATTTAGACTAAGTTTTTTATCCGGTCTAACTCCGGGTGACCTAATGTTGTGATCAGAATTTTGCATTGGACAAGATTAAGAAAACATAGTCTTCTGCAGTACTGCAAATTACTTGTGTGCACCAACATGTTTACTTGTTGACAGTAATCTCTTATGGCATGTTTGGTTGGTAGGAAATTTTGGATAGTGATAAACGGCGTTAAAATCTTACTCCCAGTACTTTTCAGAATTGTTCAATACTGTGGACCATAACCATGCATTAAGAGCATTTTTAAGAGACTCTTCAAACATAAAGCATAGAAAGTATTTCAATTCTCAATGGTAGAAAATAATATAATAATTTGGAGGGAAGCTAGTGAAAATAAAAGATAGGGAAAAATAATAAATACCTTTTGAGAGTAGTAAAATTAAGTATTAAAGATAAAAAAGCCTTTTGGAGTACTTTAAGATTTTACTCTTTAAATTTATAGATGCTCTTTGAATTGTTAAATGTGCTCTTTAATAATAAGGAGTCTATTGGAGATACTCGCGTAAACAGTTTTTGTTTGTTTTCTATTTTCCATGAGAACAATTTGATTATGGCATGTTTGATGAGATGGATTGGCCTTGATTGGATGTTAAATAACTAATTTCGGTCAGAATTAGTCAAAATGAATAAATAGACTCTACTACGATATTAAATAAAATATTCAAAATAATTAAAAAATAATCAAAACATTTTGAAGATCGCATAACTCGGAAAAGTCCTTGATCTAAGCATAAATAATTAGATTCGAATTTCGAGGATTGAATAACAAATATTTTATAAAGGAATATTGGCAAACTTACGGTCCGGGTATGCAAACTTTAGGCAGCTGAAGCGAATATTCATGAGTGCAAGAACCCACAACTAAAAGTGGGGAATTGATTTTATCGAATCATTCTACATCAGCAAAAATCATTATCAAAGCACACATGAATAGAGGTATAAAGCATGACTTCATAATCAATGAATTAAAGACACATAGGTTGGCAAACAAAACGTAAATTACTAATAGAATCAGTTAGAAATCAATCAATCAATCAATGGCTACCACATATCACTACCTAAAAAGACCCATTATCCCAAACTCTGAATAGAAATCTATAAACATGCATTATTGGGATGAAGAATGAAATGCTGAAATTGAAATACCTTCTCCCCAAATATCCATGTCTCCTCTCAAGCAGCATAATAATGAGTTTAAGAGGGAAAATTTCTAGTTAAGTGTGAGAAATTTGTTGATAATCTTTTTGAGGTCAACACCTGACATGATTAAATAAACTAAAAATATTAAAAATCATAGTATTTTTAAGGTATCGTCTACTACTGCATATCAAGCATGCTCTTAGATCATATGCAAGGTAGAAGTGCATTGTAAGTTTAGTTCAAATTTAGGTCCTTTTTTGTATTTTGAAAACTGATATTTGAAGCAATGAGTTGTTACGAAGTTAACTACGAATATCATCTAATGGAATATTTTCTTATGAATATTCAGTGTGTTTGAGACATATTATTTTGAAAGAATGTATTTTAGAATAGTAGATCGATGGAGAATGTGTGGTTAAAAAATGAAGAAAAGTTTTGGATTTGCGTATACTATTATTTTATTGAAGAATGTGTAATTGAAATGATATCAAATCACTATCTAAGAATAAATTTTTTTGAAAGAATGCGGCACAAACAGGGCTTAGCCCCTACTTGGCCCTTATTTAGAAAACTCATTTTCAACCATAAGTTTATTGGGACTCACAACTTTTACCAGCTTTTCAACTATGCATTTCAACTTTTTTCAAGATCTACTAAAAAATTGATTTTTAGCTAAACCAAACGGGGCTTAATTTCATGGGATCATCAATTCCCTGAGCAGCAACATGCTTTTTCTGGATGTGAATAATTGCAATCTGAGCATTTTCTACTATGCTTGTATTTCTCTTGTGCTGTCTTCTCTAAAGAATGAGAACAGAAGGGCAGGGGAGAGAGAGCAGCAAGGGAACCTTTTTTTGGAATTCATTCACCCAGGTGGAGACTTGTAATTGCAGAAACCAATAAATTGCTTGTTGAGTTATGAGAATAGTTCCACAGTGCAGTTGTCTGGCTTTTCTTGCACGTAAATTATGTTTAATGTTAATTATGTTTTCTTATTTTCTTGAATTATTTCTCATATAGTTTGATTGTAAAAGATAAATTCCTTTCTAAATGTAAACCTATAAATGGGGTCTTTCTTCTTAACTAGTAGATATAATCTCTTGTTAATTTTATTGTTTTTTGTTCCCGTGGTTGTTATTGTTAATAAAGTGGTGAGACCAGTCTTCGTTATAGACTCGTTTTGAGTGCCTAAAATTTCATATTAGAGCAATATATACATGTATATATATTTTATGCATGAATATTAGGTTGTCAAGTGCTTGCTCTGTCATCCATGTGTGATGGTGGCAGTACATTATGATCTATATCTCCTGTCTGCGGTTTTCTACTTGCCTAACACGAAGTTAACTACGAATATCATCTAATGGAATATTTTCTTATGAATATTCAGTGTGTTTGAGCCATATTATTTTGAAAGAATGTATTTTAGAATAGTAGATCGATGGAGAATGTGTGGTTAAAAAATGAAGAAAAGTTTTGGATTTGCGTATACTATTATTTTATTGAAGAATGTGTAATTGAAATGATATCAAATCACTATCTAAGAATAAATTTTTTTGAAAGAATGCGGCACAAACAGGGCTTAGCCCCTACTTGGCCCTTATTTCGAAAACTCATTTTCAACCATAAGTTTATTGGGACTCACAACTTTTACCAGCTTTTCAACTATACATTTCAACTTTTTTCAAGATCTACTAAAAAATTGATTTTTAGCTAAACCAAACGGGGCTTAATTTCATGGGATCATCAATTCCCTGAGCAGCAACATGCTTTTTCTGGATGTGAATAATTGCAATCTGAGCATTTTCTACTATGCTTGTATTTCTCTTGTGCTGTCTTCTCTAAAGAATGAGAACAGAAGGGCAGGGGAGAGAGAGCAGCAAGGGAACCTTTTTTTGGAATTCATTCACCCAGGTGGAGACTTGTAATTGCAGAAACCAATAAATTTCTTGTTGAGTTATGAGAATAGTTCCACAGTGCAGTTGTCTGGCTTTTCTTGCACGTAAATTATGTTTAATGTTAATTATGTTTTCTTATTTTCTTGAATTATTTCTCATATAGTTTGATTGTAAAAGATAAATTCCTTTCTAAATGTAAACCTATAAATGGGATCTTTCTTCTTAACTAGTAGATATAATCTCTTGTTAATTTTATTGTTTTTTGTTCCCGTGGTTGTTATTGTTAATAAAGTGGTGAGACCAGTCTTCGTTATAGACTCGTTTTGAGTGCCTAAAATTTCATATTAGAGCAATATATACATGTATATATATTTTATGCATGAATATTAGGTTGTCAAGTGCTTGCTCTGTCATCCATGTGTGATGGTGGCAGTACATTATGATCTATATCTCCTGTCTGCGGTTTTCTACTTGCCTAACTTTTTCTGGTAATTAATAACTTGATATCTCTTTTTCATTCAGGTGCAAGAAGAACATGAATAATTTGGTTCTATCATTTGTTCCGAACTTCACGAAATTGCAGGTTTTGATTTTACGACAAGATGCACCACAGCTTCAGGATAATGCAGTCGAAACTATTGCAAGTTACTGCCACGACTTGCAAGAACTGGACCTTAGCAAGAGTTTCAAGCTTACTGATCACTCGTTGTATACCATAGCACATGGTTGCCCAGATCTTACAAAGCTGAATATCAGTGGGTGTTCTGCCTTCAGTGATTCTGCTCTGGCATATCTCTCGCGATTTTGCAGAAAACTGAAATTCTTAAATCTTTGCGGATGTGTTAAAGCTGCAACTGATCGGGCATTGAAGGTATGAGAACCAGTCTAGCAACATGTTCAGCTAACTTTTGTAAGCTTTAATATATATCAAATTTTTTTTTTTTTTTTTTTTTTTTATTGATCCATGTTTGAAACAAGGTATTTATTTTGAAGGTAACAGTGACTTCAAATTAGTAATTTTTTTGCTTAAACTATGAAAAAAGTAACTTATCTGTATGCGTTTGGAAACAAAAATATACTTGAAAGTAGTTACCTCAGCCAACTACTGGTCATGGTTTGTTAAGACTTGTATACTACATTTATACAGGCCATTGGATTCAACTGTAATCAATTGCAGTCTTTAAATTTGGGATGGTGTGATCACGTTGGTGATGAAGGCGTGAAGAGTTTAGCATATGGTTGCCCTGATCTGAGAGCCCTTGACTTGTGCGGTTGTCTTCTTATAAGGGGTATTCATTTTGTTTTATTGCATTCAGCACACTTTCACTGTACTGTGTTTAGGGAAGTATACTTTTTCCGTATATAGATATAGATTATTCAGCATGAAGTTCTATGATATTGATGTACCACCGGTGAAGTTGGTACCTTAATTTCATGTCTCCCATGCTAATTAATGGGCATTTTTTCAGACGAGAGTGTAATTGCGCTGGCGAATAATTGCCTTCACCTTAGATCCCTCGATCTATACTACTGTCAGAACATCACAGATAGAGCAATGTATTCTCTTGCACAGAGTCGAGTAAAGAACAAGCATGAAACTTGGGACTCTCCAAAGAACGAGTACGAGGATGAAGGGCTGACGAATCTGAACATCAGCCAGTGCACTGCATTGACTCCTCCAGCAGTTCAGGCACTATGTGACTCATTTCCAGCTCTTCACACATGCCCTGGCCGGCATTCCCTGATCATAAGTGGCTGTCTGAATTTAACATCTGTTCACTGCGCCTGTGCTGTGCAACCACACCGCGCTGCAAACTTGCTATCTCATCTAGCTCACTGAGAGCCGACTGCCTGGAAATCTTGAGGTTTCCTTTTTCGACTGGCTTTTGCCTTGTTTGTTTGCAGTCTATATTCGAGGGAGATTTCTGGTTGTTTATGCAAATCTTAGTTGTTGAACCTCAAAGAATGCGTAATGGAAATGGTTTCTTTCAATATTTCTATGCTGACTTGCCTAAATCTGCTGTGAATTTCTGGAATATACTTTCCGATATAATTATGTAAACCTCTAGATGATCAGAAAGGGCTGTTAATCTATATTTCCGCTGTTATACGTTTTTGCAGACGGTTTGTATAACCCATCCAAACAGAATCAACTTGAATAATGACACTACGGCACCTCAACTGCAATCCTTCGCAGTTTGCAGCATCCCAGATTTCCATATATACACAACAAAACTTCTGAAAACAGTATTTATTGGACGAGATTCTATCTGGAAAAGATAAGAATTACAGCAAAAATTCTTTCCTTCTGGCAAATAGTTGCTCTTTTTCTACCTGGAAAAGATTAGAATTGCAGCAAGAATTGAGGCTCGCCCCGTGCTGGTTCCACCGAATTTTACCCAAAGCCCACCAAATTTTACACTTTGGGCAAACCACTCGCCGCTCGGGTGTCGGCGAGCAGTTTTCCAGGAATCCATTGTTGAGAATGAAGCTGAGGCAATTGAGCCGTACCTAAAATAAGGACTTTGAACATTTCTTGAAGAATGTTGCTTTGAATAGTTGTATGTTTCAGGATGGAGAGCGAGGGTTCAGAGTGTAGGATGGACCAAGTAACGGAGGATTGAAGAGCAGTTCACGTTCTATAGTTATAGAAAAAGTAGTAAGTAGTTTTCACCATTATTTTTTCCTCTGCAGTGTCCATTTTATTTCTTGTAGCACTTGAGTAATTTAGCGAAAAGCAAGAGAAACTTCGCCCCTATTTGTCATCCATTTTCTTCCATTTTTTCGATTATTTTTTTTACAGTACTCATTTTTAACCACACATTCTTCATTAAAACAATATTACACATAAATCAAAAAAAATTCCTTCTTTTTCAACCACACATTTCAACATTAATCACTATTCTATAATACATTCTTCCCAAATAATCGGTGACAAACACACCCTTCATTTATTCTTTAAGTTTTCAGTGTACATATTTCTTAAAATTTATTTTCAGTTATACATTCTTTCAATAAAATAATTTTACATAGAGTTATAATTTTTCCTACATTTTAATCGTATCTCCAAATTTATTTTTTTTCATAAAATAGATTTTCAAAAAATCTAAAAAAATCGGCCTTCAACATTGGCTTTGATATTACCAATGGCAATTGCAACCATTGAAAGGTATTCTCTACTATGAATTTAATCAAAAGTGAATTGCCCAAGAAAATGAGAGATGCCTAATTGAATGACAATCTAGTGGTGTACATGGAACGAAAGACATTTGACAAAAAATTAAACATGAGGCAATCTTACAGTTCTTTCAAAATATAAGACATCAGAAAATGCAATTGTCTGACCTTATAATTACAAAGTAAAATTATATCTTGTATTTGTTATTGTATTTTTTTTAATTATTATTTTGAGTTGTAGTAGATTATATTTTCATGTGTATGATTGTTATATTTTAGTGCATTTATATATTAACTGAATTTTTTTAATATTATTTAATTAAATATTAATAAAAAATCTTACTATGGTCAGTCAATGATTATCCTGCTCACAAAAATTCCTGAATCTACCAGTAAACAACAACAGTGCATAAAACCCCAATATGATCAACAAAAGCACAAATCCGGGTTGACGTGATACCAATGATAACAACCCAAAAAAAAGAGGGTACAAAGATTATGTAAAAAGCAAAGAAGTTGACTATCATGCTTAGCTGCCAGAATTTTTTGATATCTTGGATGGCATAATGCCACACGTTGGACTGTTTAAAAAAAATCCACACAGCAATCCAATCATCTTTGCCACAATTTAATCTGTCATGCAAGCCGTCAAAAAATTCTAGTCCATTTAGGTGATGTCAGATCAACAAGTTCGTCCAATCTTAGCACCCCTGCCAGAGTAGGGCATAATCTAGATTCATTTTATTGCCTCCCTCCGGAAAGAAATTTTAATCTAAATTAAAGTCAACAATTAATTTTAATCATATCAAGAAACCCACAACTTTTCAATTTACACATTTCAGTAACTTTCATCAAAATCTACTAAAAATCTTATCTTAATCCCTATCAAACGAATGCATTATATTCAATGCACTCTTTAAATTTACATATATGGACGAATATGGCAATGAGACTTGTCTTCACCCTTGACTACACAACTGCTACACGTTTTAACTATCCTATACTATTCAAAAACAACTGAATTCTGATGCAACTGCGACACATGAATGAGAACTTAATTCACTAAATTTTGTGATTTTTACTACTATAAGGATGAGCATATGAACTTTTGAGTCTATGAGTACAGGAGATGCAATCTGCCATGAAATTGAGAACCCCTATAGAGGGGACAACTGAAAATACATAGTATTCCAACAATTTCATCAAAATTGACAAATTACATATTTTTAACCCTAACGAATAAAATGAACCATTTGTATGGAGAACGATCTAACAGAGAGATACATTGCAAGTAAATTCAGTGCTTGACACCAACAAAACACAATCCCACTTCAGCTTGAGCCTGCAGCTCTTCCAAAGCTTTCACAAGCTTCTCGCGGCTAATTGCAGTTTCTGTTTGCTCAGATAGGATTTTCCGTAGTCTTCAAGCATCAACCACAAATAAAATAAATAATTAACACGATATAGTATATAAGAAAAAGATGCATGAGGTGTCACATCTTCGAATTCGAAAGAAGACTCTCATGTTATCTCTTAATATTTTAGCATTGAAGCGATCAAGCGCATTATTAAATATGGGACTATAAGAGTGCATTCAATCGTCGAAAAGGAACCAACATCCATTTGGATTCGCTTGAGAAGTGTGCAATCTTGAGATGCTACGGGCTTAGAAACTTTCTGGTTATCTACTACAATAGAAAAATAAAGAAGATTCCTAAAATTGCCTCGTGATATTCAAGAAAATGCTGCCCTTGCGAGATTTTGTATAAACTGATATGTTAGGCATATAGCTTAATTTTTGTTCATATCATTTCTTATGAGTTCCTCTGTTTTGAAAATTCTCAACTCGTGTTTGATTTGGTATTTTTAAAAATGCATTTTCGAAAATAAGGATATAACATAAAACTCAAAATGGATTTTTGATGTTTTGAGCGTCTCTAGTGAAAATCATTTTGAGTGTTTTCAATGAAAAATCTGTAAACACTCAAAATATAGAAAATGGTCATGCTACATGTATACTTCCGGTGTACACAATTTTTTACATCCCCCTCGCATGGAAGGGGGCCCGCACATAATAATTATAAGTTGCCTCCCTCCATGTGAAGACTATATGTACACTTTTCTATATACATAAAATCTTACACCCCCTCACATAGAAGGGGGCCCGCACATAATAATTCTAAGTTGGCTCCCTCCATGTGAGGGGGTGTAAGACTTTATGTATATAGAGAAGTGTACATATAGTCTTATCCTATAGAAAACATGCGTTTAAAGTTAAAAACATTTTTTAAAAAAAGGGATTCGCCATTTGTACACCCAATTTGTACATTCTTGTTGACACTTGCACCATTGCTAGAGGAAATTGGAAGAAAAACAATTTTTTTAAAGAGTCAAATGACAGTTTGCCATGTGACAAAATATAAAAAAAGTTACAAAGATATGCAACAAAGTGTACACCAAGCATGATTCAAAATAAAAATATAAAATTCTAACAAATAAAATTTTAAGACAAAAAAAAAATGGAAAAATTTTGATAAATTTTAAAAAATTGAAAAAAAAAATAGAAAGTTCTAAAAAATAAAATTAAAAAAAAATCTAGAAAAATTAAAATTATAAAAAATCTAGAAAAATAATTCAAGGAATTTTTATTTTACTATTGGAGTGAGAAAAAATATTTTAAAATTCACTAACTTTAAAATATATGCATTACTTGATGATATATTAATATAAAACTGTTCTATTTTTACTGAATAATCAAATTTCATGGAATAAAATGTCATAAAGTAACTTTTTCAAATTTCAAACCAAGTGTGTTTTCTAGTTCACATTTTGAGAATTGATTTTTCCAGATGACAAAACAAACAGTCTTTTAGCAATCTTAAAATAGACTCTTAAAACAGAAAATGAACTCAAAATTGAAAATTGAAAATTGAAAACTGAAGCACAAATCAAACGAGACCTTAAATTTTGATGACATTTTTTATTTATCTAAAACTAAACATGTACACAGTTTTAATCACAAAAGCTAGAATCTGAAAAAAGGAAAAAGTCTCATTTTTTTCCCTGCTCTGGTAGAATTTAAGTCAACACATAATGAATACATCATTTAAGTTGAAAATCATTTAAGAATGGAATATAACTCCTCTTTAGAGTCCTACAATTTGCTTATATCTTTCAATCTTTCTGCATAGACGTATTAATGATTCCTACCGAGTTTTGATCCGTATCATTAAGTTACCATCTTGATATATCATGCAACACATATTTATTCACACCTTAAAATTAAAGAAAATTAAATAATAAGATGGGGGGCTTCTTCAGTAAGACTTCAAAGGATTCAACTAGCCAATGGAGTATTTGAAGTCTTCCTTCCTCAAAAAAATGAAAAAAGAACAGGCAAAAAGAAAATGCGAAAAGAGAGAAATAATGGCAGAAAGATGAATGCAAAACCATGTTTATAAATCATACAGAAGCGATATGACAACTTACCTATGCACGGCTGCTGTGTCTCCATGTCCAGTGCAGATGACAAGCATGGCATTACGAGGTAGACTGGAGTATATGCTTTTGACTCTACCATTGATACGACTAAGTATTTCCTTTAGTCCCGAGGTGACACTATATCCTATGCTTTTTTTACCAGTAGGTTGCTCACATGTAAGCAATGCTATCATCTCTGC